CACCGCGCGGCAGTTGTGCATGCTTCAGCGCCAATTGCCGTGCGGTGACGGAGTCGCCCAGCACAGACGGTCGCGCTGTGGGTGCCATTATTTTTTGTGCTCCCGAAAACAGCCGCGCGTCGTGTATCGCAAAAAAAAGGTACATGTGCCCTTTTTCTGTGATTGCCGCGCGGATGTCACCCCATTGAAATCGATGGGGGCCGCGCAGCAATCGCTGCCTGCACTGTGCAGGACTGCGCAATCCTGGATCGCTCCGGTCTGCACCGGGCCTAATGAACAGAGCCCAGAACTGCACAGACGCCAGGATTTACCTGATTGTGTCATCTCTGAGCCGGCATCTCAGCCCAAGAAGTAGGCGGTGACCCTGAATGAAGATGGCGTCGTCCTCGAGAGAAAGCAGATGAAGGCATTGTGAGTAGAGCCCAATGCACCACAACGCATACACCATGCATTAGAGCACACAGCTTTATACATTCATATACATACAGGGACATATACATCTTTTTCCTCTGTTGTGTTGTATTATTCATTATGAATGGTCGGCCTAAACACAACGCATGTAACGTGCACCATAACGTGGGTACTTAACGCACTGCAGTGGAATGCTTTCATTTGAATATACCCTCAAGGAATGATGGCAATGTACTTATCCCCCAGATCACAGAGCTTATTACACATTCTGCACATATTGAGAGCTTACTGTAGGTGTTCCCCTCTTCTCCATCAGATGCCGCAGGGCCTTGTAAGATGCCCCATGTATTTAATATAACTTTGGGCAACGTCAAATGTTCACGGTTGAGTGACGCCACTCAGCCCACCCAGCTCTGCGTCCTGCCCAGCTCCAGGCAATCAGTGACGTATGGCCCTTACAACTCCGCCCGGCCCTTGGTAACCTGGGACGCCGCGGCAGAGTGGACATGTCGCTCTGCCTGGCATTCCCCCACGTGACCCAAAGGGATGCCGCCTGAGGCAACAGCACCAAGGGATGGCCCTGGGTGTTCCCTGGCAGCCCTAGGCAACACCCACATGTGATGGTGAGCCTCCATGATTGAAAGGACTGAAATCCAATGAATGAGAGGGGCGGGCCAGGGACAGTCAGGCTGAGGAGGAAAAGGCTAGATGATGCTGGAGCCTCCAGCCAGGAAATGAGGCGGGCTCTATCTGACTTGCAGCAGGTTCTAATGCACATGGTGAGAAGTTAGCAGTGTGCAGTGAAATCAGAGGAAGCCATTTCAGTCCCGAAGAGGAGTCGGTACAACCATGCAAGACGGAAGGGAAGGCGTCTACTTTAAAGGAGGTCCCCGCTGCTCCCCAGTTCTGTATCATTTCATGGCTGCTTTTGATGGAGAAACTCAAGTTTTATGGGGTTTTTTTGTTTGTTTTTTTAAATGAAAAAAAATTTGAATTGGAA